AGTCCGACAAATTAAACGGGTGGTCAGACGGTACAAAGCTGAAGAATTCATTGCCGGATGTGAGGCAGGCAAAACACAGTTTGTTCAAACGTGCGTGTAGAGGCCGGGCGATACTTAATGGCGAAAATATAGCAAACACAAAGGTGATGCGAACTGATGAAAACAATATGCATATAATTGCACAGTTTTGCTACTCTGTGAGGAAATGGACACAGAACACATTTTAGAGGACGCCTGATGCGAATCGGGAGGGTGGCAACCACACAGGAATTTGTTCGCCTTACTTTGTATCCAGACCCCCTATTCCCTAGGCAAGCTTCCAGCAAGGTAAGGACTGTGTCCTCACAATTTTTGATTTGTTAGTTAAACGACACACATGTCAAGCTTTGTGATAGTAGATGATCTCTAGCCAGGCCGTCGTGAAGTCTATGACAGGAATAAACGCTTGAACGTAACAGCTGGGACGTTAACTGTTCTCAATAAGCCCTTTTTAACAACGATGCACTCTGAGTACTACAAGGCGAACGAGCCGGCAATAGCTGCAGTTGGATTGGTTCAGAGTGATAAACTATTCTTGCTAGCTAATGAAGCATTTTAAATGGACATTTTCAGCCTCCTTGAGCAATAACTAGCCGTCTTCTAAATCTAAACACAGTGAAAAAGTAGAAACTGTCAGATTTAGCGGTAATAGTTGTTGCAATTTTTGACGCTAAAAGCGAGTTGTTTGTGTTTCATCCTATGCCTTTCTTCCGCGCAAAACCGGCTAAAATTATATGCTAAAATACCAAGTATAGGAAGCGAAGTATGCACTTCAAGACAAGTGTTCATGTGTTTGTATTTAACGCACTACAGTAACATTCCATAAAATGTGAGTACCCCCGGTATTTTTGTCATATCAAAACAAATGTGAAAGAACTTAGCGAAATACACTCATTTGGAAACAAGTGTGGTTTTGCGAGAGACTCACCTGGAACCCAGCTGAATCTCTCGTTTGTGATGTTTCCGGGCAGCTGAATGTGCTGCACCAGGCCACCTCATGTTTCGATCGCTACGACATTCGAGATATCGCGATACACGCATATTCGTTATTCACTACTCGTGAGGTTGCTGGAAATTCTACGACATGGCCCACCTGATGCATTCAAATCCGCACATATTTAATGTACATATTACTGTGAATCTCTGGAATTTCATAATCAATGGATAGGGTCCCTCGAGTCTGCATCGTGTGAATTTTCAAGGAGGATTTTATTTCTACGCACGCCGAGCTTGATTCTCAGTCCTGTCATCAGAAGAAATTTGATTATTTCTTTGGTGAATCTAGTATATGAGAGTGATTGCAAAATATCGCAAACTCTGATGCAACTTTCCAGGTTACCTCTGTATCCAAAAACATGGTCACTCTAGTTCTATCGTCCGCTGGCTTACGACATGCATAACATTAGGGAGTTATGACCCGATCAAGCCGAAACATATCGCAATTGAAAAGTCATTGCTTGCCCCTCAGAGGACGTTTGTTTTATCGTCTGAACAAAACCACGATTTAGCCCACAATCCTTTGGATTAGTCGCGACCATCCTTGACCTCCGATGGCCTCAGTGCACTTCACACAATGATCATGTATATGGGAGCTTTTTGTATTCGTGTCCAGGTAAGGACCTTGTCCATAAAGTTCATCATTTCAATGATTTTTTCGAAAAAGCGCCGTCGCGGAACCGTAAGTTTTGTTTAACTTTAGACAAAAATTCCCGTTTCTTTTGCATGTGCACATTGAACCCTAACGCCGTCGAATCCTGCGCATGGATGAACTCATCCTATGCGTGCTTGTGGTCCAGCAAAAATAAATGTCACTGTATGTTAAAAAAACTTCCGTTTATCCGTTCCGCGTGTTCCCGTTTTGAGTTAGGCACTAGGATATGATTTGATGACATCCCGTTGAGACTCAAAATCGTCCATCAATAAATTCGACAGCTTTAAGATGTGTAGGATAAAGAAATAAATGCACCCTATAATTGAGAATACAACAAACCTACCATTAGAAAAAAATGGAGAATAGGTTGAAAAAGGCTAATCTAGAAGTCTGATTCGCAAGCTTCTGTGTTAAGCCTGATTGACGATAATCTAAAATGACCTACAGCTCCTACAAAAACGCCTTTCCTCCTTGCTCTGAGCTAGACAACAACACACTGTACAGCACCGTTTAAAGTGTCCCAGACGAGACATTGCTGCGTGAAACTCAAAAAGACTTTCATTGCAACCGGAAGCGACACGACGCCCGATATACAGAAGGTCCTGGATCATTGAACAACCTAAATATTCCGTACAAAAAATAATTCATATGATCAGATCTGGGTCCGTGAAATGATAGAACACTTCTTTCGGGTTCCAACTTTTGCCCAGCTGCTTATATCTGTTTTTCCTGGGTTGACCTGCGCGCACGTTAGGGAACCAGAGGAGTATGTACAAAAACTCCCGTCAAACGATGAAATCGTGTAACACTGCGTTCCAGACTAGCACCCGACCACCCATCACAAGAAACTTTCAAAGTGCCGCTTGCGTTGTTGCAATCAGCAGCTCGTATTCGGGTGAGTACAAACGGACGATAGTTTCCAGCTTGGTTAACTCTGACCTAGAACCGAAAAGGACAATGTTGTACACTCAAAATTTCAACACAGCTGCCGCTATAAACTGGGCACATTCGATGGAAATTCGGTTAGCATTGGGATCAAAAGCGTCACCTGATCATAATTGAGCATTCTTTTGTCTTGGCTCAGTGTTCAAAAAAATTCCATGCTGCCAATCCCCTGGTCATCAGAAGATCCCGTAAGGAAGGAGGGCTTTTGGACGTGCATGTGATTCGATGGAAATTCGGTTAGCATTGGGATCAAAAGAGTCACCTGATCATAATTGAGCATTCTTTTGTCTTGGCTCAGTGTTCAAAAAATTCCATGCTGCCAATCCCCTGGTCATCAGAAGAGCCCGTAAGGAAGGAGGGCTTTTGGACTAGTAGTGCATGTGAAGGAAGCCGTGACTCGATAACTGGGGCAGACATTTTGGGAAGAGTGATGGTTATTTCTGTGTTACCTGGTGTTTGTCATTTCGAAGGTTTTCAACAAATGCTCTAAAGGGCGGCTTTGTGTTGACATGCCACAAGAAACCACACATAATCCCTTTTAAGCGGCCATCCGTGCTGAGGGGAAGCTTGGTAATTAGGCTTGTTAAGCCGTCGGCATTCGAGAGTTACTGCCTTTTAGTGTGCTCGGCAAGCCGTTTTCCAAGAATTTGTGTTGAATGGCGTATGAATCTTGTAGCTTGTAACGGATTACCCTTAACTACCATGTCTTTCTCGCAGCCCAATCAGCCTAGAAATAAACTATGTAGAAGCAAACCAAACACCATCCACTTGGGTGTAAGATCACCAAAATACGGAATTTTGCACACTTTTAAATGAAATAAAGATAATGTCATCCACCGTGCCAAGTCAACAGATATCAGCGAGAAAACCGAAGGACTTACCCACTGCTTTGTCAGGCTCCACTTGTACACACTCAGATGCTGGAGACTCATTCCGACTGTTGTATGTGGCACTCGTCAGTTCGTCAGGAGGTCCCGATTTCTCGTGGATTGTTTCAGATGGCAGTTGAAGCTGAAACGAATGAAATCCGGAAAAAGCCATCGCAATATATATTGTACTAATCAGACCTATTTCGAGAGGGAGAGGGAGTGGAAAGTACGAGTGTCTAACAGAAGCAAAAATAACTTACAGTTCGTTTGATAAATAATTTGCAAATACCTACTGTGGCGAAGATGAAGAACAGATTTGATTTCTTCCTGTTATAGCGAATGTCCAATGGAGTACGTCACGTGACACATGTTACGTATTTTATTTTTTCCGGTGTCTTTACGCGTTTGCGTCCAGAGGAAAATCGAGTATCGTTACGATCTGGTTTTGACGGTCTTGATGTTTATTTTGAGCTGTACACTTAATTTATTTTCCGACAGTGGAAACGAAATTCCCACCGTCGAGGTTGAAAATTAATCATCCGAAATCAGAACATTGTCGACATGTTCGTTTTGTGAAAATTCAAAACTGAATACATTGCCGTAACAATCGCTGTACAAAGGAAAAAAACTATCACAAGCTTATTGAATAAGTGGGCGTTGAGCTAAACGTTTATTTGAGATAACCAAGATAACCACGTTTTTGGCATAAACCCCTGAATTTACTGTTAAGTTCTTCAGGCGTTTATCAAGTGTCCTAAGGAATGGAAGGAAATTTCTGGTAGCAACAAACGTGTTCATTTTATCGTAAGTTCCATTTGCTTTTCAAGGTAACCGGGAATCAGGAACGTCCTTCAGCTTCTGACAAAGTGATTCCGAACATTGCTTGTACTTGTTTCTCCTACAATAAACCTCTGCTTTCTCAAAGGCCATTTTGTATTCACGTGGGAAAAACGGGTATTCAGAAATTTGTTCATATTGATGGCCAGATTGTTCCGCGTTTCTCACATTAAATTGAATTTTTGTGTTCACACATTTGTACTGGCTTGTTGCCTTCTCAAACACTAGATGGGAGGACTAACCATTTCAGTTGATTCCACATTTAGCTGTATCACCAGAGACTGACCTCACAAATGATCCACGTGGTCACAGGGTGCATCATAAATCGGACACTTTACTAAGCGGAGAGCGTCTAGACGCTCCTATCAACTATCGTGTATATTGTGTTGGTTTCATAATGAACAAGCAAATACGCGCAACCATCTGAGGCCCATAAGTAAGACTAAGTGGATGGTGTGAGGTTAATTCAGTTCTATTTTTAGCATACTGGGGCTCATCGATTCTCAAACGGCTTTGTAACATCACAAGATCAGAATGGTTTCATTTGAAGGGATCATGACTGGATAGTGTTCCGCTTATGTGATATTTAGGATATTTCTGGGGAAACGTCTTCGGGACGTAACGGTATCCATTTCGAGGGCGCGGAGGATTTTGTTGTTTGTGGCGCACTTTTACGGACTCCATGATGAGACCTGTTGACACTCTTGTCCGAAACGTTCGCTACGCTTTGTCCAAAAAATACTCCAAGTTAGAGATCTGTGTAACGCAAGTAGCTTTATTCATTTCAGCAAATTTTGGCATGCCTCAGCCATTTGCTGTCACAAATAATGGCCTGCGGCAAATATCATGGTAGGATGCGAAGTGTTTCAGCTTGAAAGTGACGACTGTTAATGCATTATGTTGACGTTACGGCCCCACTTCGCCAGAATAGCCCGTGTTTTCACATCTCGCATTGTCCTGACATAGATTTGTAGAGACACACTGCAGGCCCCTCATTTACGCTCCCTGATGTACTCCCAAGTACTCTAACCCTCGGTTGAACCTGCTTAGCTGTACACTTCGGGGTTCACGCTCGTTAGGTAAACGGTCGTGGTTATGTAATCAAGTGCTCTGCACGTGGATGTGTCTATCCTTTTCCTTTTTCACACATTAAGTCAAATCATTTTTCGTGCGATATGACTGACCAAGTTGAGAATTTCAGACGTTCTTATTTTCAGTAGGGCTGTTGTTCCTTAGTGAACGCAATTTGCACGTGTTCAAGCAGTCTGAGAACTCAGTAGTTAATTTGATTGTTGGTCTGCAAATGAGTAACCGGCTTTCTCTGTTCACGAAACTTCAGTTATGTCACTGGGTACACTTCGCCATCCAAACAAACTCACATGCGAAACTGAGCAATCATTGATTGTTGGAAAATTATCAGAACTGGCGTGAGACAATTATTTTGAAGCACGGGTACTGGCCATTCGACATGCAGTTGCGAAAGTGCATCGGTCACCAACAGTTTAGGACTGAATTCATTTGCTCATTCCAGCTTCACGATTAAGAATGTCAGATGGGAGAGGAGAAATATTCACTACGTACCAATGCAACTCTTCGTTGCAAAGTTTTCTGATTCATGAAGGTGCAGTGATGCCTGTAGGTTATCGCAGCACAGACTCTCTAATTCCTAGTTAAACCGAAGGAAAATGGAGAGTTTCACAGTACAATGAACGTGAGACCTTCATTTACACAGCTTAGACGATTAACGCTATTTGGTGCAGACAAATGTAAAGAGTAAAATAAGGCGAAACCTGAGTATCTGAAACTCTTAGAAAGACCGCAGTAAGACAAGAGCTCCTGGGTTCCTTTCCCATGAAGTTCCGCAAAGCTTTGCCAATGTACGCAGGAGCCGCCAACTTATTCATAACATGTCCAAAAGACATGATAAAGCGTTAACATTTATAAGAAGAGAATCTATGAAGTTCTCAAATCGTATAACTACAACGATTGAACTTAAAGAGCAATATTCACAACCCACATTTGTATTATTGCTCCAAAACCTGTCCAGTACAATATATTTAAGGCAATCTAAGTGAACTTTAAACCAGCTTTTAAAAATGTGCACGAAAACCAGGCTAATTTGGCCGCCTTTCGCCTTATTACTTTACCGTGCCACTGGATACCTCACTGGGTGCACTAATTGACGTGTAACAGTACTACAACCAACCACCTCCATTGTCTATGTAATGGTTATGTGCTTTAACCTAGAGCGTTCAGATTCTCAATTCCCCCAGGATTTGTGGTGTTGCTAAAAAATACATCAAAACGAAAGAACCGTGTCAGGTTTCCAACGTTCATTCACATTGATGAAAACAAACAGAACGGCTTTCACAGCACTTTCACAGTCACTTTGTCCGCCATAGTCAGTGCCACCGGGTGACCAGTAGCAAATATTTACAACTTTTCAGTTGTACTTCTAACTAATAAGGGTGCCTGCCAGCGGTGATCCGGCGGACGGGAAGGCAATTGTTTTGCCAAATTCGAGTCGGTTGTTCAAGCAATACTATTTTCTTCATCGCTTTCCTAGTGATGATAATAGGTTTACTGGAGGTGGAAGTAAACAAAGATGACTTTTTAAAGAAATGTCCACCGCGGCTTACGAGCGAGATCTCTCATTTTGTTTTACCCTACGGTAAGTTGTTCAGCTACGTTTAGTTGGTCGTCGAAATAGGAAGGCGGCGATTCTTAAAGTTGGGGACGTACAACATACCTCATCCTGCCGGAAGGCAAAACCGTGATTATGTAATAGGCCTGGCAACCTAAATCAAACCTAAATCGAATAGTAATTCCGATGATAGTTTGAAATGTTTTGACACCAGATTTAGTGTATGAAGCTCGATAACGGCTGCTGTAAGCGCGGGCAAGATCAGCAAACCACGTGACCACGTTCGTGGTGTGTAAAAAGATAAAAGAACGCTTCCTTGTAGTTTTTCCAATTCAAACAAAAACATTTATCCAATTGACGAAATATGTAGTTATACAATTGGAACAGAATAAAGGCACAAAACCCGCACTGTCATTTAACTGCAAGCGAACCCTGCGAAGCAGTCCAACAAGTTCCGTATTACCCCCCCACACACACTGCATTAAATGCGAGGCGGAGTTACGAGAAAACAACACAGTACTCGCATGCCTCATCATTTAGGTCCACCGTTACAAAGGTATACCGCTTCAAAATATTCTGCATGGCAGAACCAGAACCCAAATATTCGCTTTATTTTCACGATTCGTATTCAGGCTGTGTTATGATGAGCGAGCGCGCTAAGTTTGTTTGCGCATATTTCATTTCACATTCTCCCAACGTCTTCCTATACTCCTTTATTCAGGCTGTGTTATGATGAGCGAGCGTGCTAAGTTTGTTCGCGCATGTTTTATTTCACATTCTCCCAAAGTCTTCCTATACTCATTTATTTACTCGTATTCCAGAGCCGCCGCGGCCAATGTCTCGCAGAAAAGAGGTTAAAAAAGACAATGACATCGCGCATTATTGGATGACATCAGTGGACAGATTATCAGTTCTGAGTGGTGGTGGCATTTATAATAATAAATAATACAGTGCTAAGATAGTGGGAAGAGGCTAAACACTTCTAATTCCAAAGTGAGCATTATTTGCACCTAAGTTTGAACCTAAGTTTGAATTTGAGGACGTTCCAGCCAACGTCGCGTTTGAAAGTACAAGAAGGCAACAGCGAAAGATCGACCATCTTACTACCGATAAGATTCCCATATTAGAGTACCTTTTATGCCATTAGGCAAAATATTTGGGTTGTAGAGAGTTCATGCACACTAATGGTGAACATGAAAAAATAATTACTTTATCAGTAGAAATAAGAGGTGTTAGAAGGTTATGATTAGGCAACACACTGAGATCCCGGTATTCCACATATTCACGCACGCGTCTCAGACTTGCTCAGCAGTTTTGGGACGGTTCGTATGGTACACCGGCTTTAATTCAGTTGAAGAAAAGAAAGCCTAAACAAGGTGCTGCACCCTCTATAATTTTGTAGCGTACAACGCAACGCCTACCAGTGCAGACATATTGAATACCATCTAAAATGACTCAATTTGGATTATCTCTGCAGCATGGACACAGGTCATTCCACATCTCAAATATCCGGAAGATAAAAAAACCGTTGTCTAGAAGAGTTGTGTGCTTTGCTTCCGAAAATGTCAAAAGTGAACCATTTTTATATTCATTCATGTGTCCAGATACGTAACAACTTGTCAGTCCTCACTACATACGACTAAGACGTTAGCCGACTCCCC